TCTGGGATATAAAATATCGAATTTATACCCCAGAACTCTGATTTGCTTTAAGAGTGAATCGTAGGAAATGGATTTCAACCATTTCGCTTACGGACTTACTCTACTCCCTATTACATCCCTAGCTACAAATAAATGATCGATCAATATAGAATTAACGTCGATCGACATTGAATTAACATCGATTTAACGTCCAGCGACGTTGAATCAACATCGATTTGACGTTGATTGATGAATCATTAATAGCTTAGCTGGAAAATCAGCTTACTCCCGACATGCTTACAGTCTCTACTGCTACTGTCATTGTAGACGACGCATTAATTTTCTTACTGCTTATGTCTTACTGCCTTAAATTTTTTGTGTGCCATGGCCTTAAGTTCTGTGGCCGATATATCGTCACTTACAATTTACCGCTACGGCTTACGGCCTAAAGCAAGGTTACGGACTTACAATTAAATTAAGATATGCTTTTAATACAATACATATATGCCGTACCTGCATGAGAAGTAGTGGGACAGTAAATGCAAATTCATACACTGAAGACAAAGATTCTTATTACTGAAATTGGAGAATTATGATGCATAAGATAGAGAGACGTGCCCTTCTGGCGGTATACATTTATAAGTTGCTGAAAGTTTCCGCAAGATGGTTATTAGATACTTGGTATTTGATACTTGTATCAAAACTATTGATGTACTTTATTTCGTCTTGTAATAATGCCTACGTTTACACCGTACTCTTAGTCAGCGACCTATATGATAGGTGTCTTTGTTTAACATACAGGATAAACAAGGTCATCTATTGTATAGGCTAGAGTCCTATATATAGAGAGAAGCGACATTGATGTCCGAGTCTCTGATTGGTAGTCTGATATGTATTCTGATTGGGTATCCCCTCCTAAGAAGCAGCCATATTGTGACCGCAGCTGATTACATGTAGCTGCACATGTGACCGCGATACATGTGGCCGCCGACTTCAGTTGTGTCTCACTTATCAGAATGCAAGAGGAACGTGCATTCAACTAAGTTATGACACAGAGAATCACTACATCCTTGTTATTCGCATCGAAGTACACAATTACAGGTTGGAGTATGTTTATGTTTACGACACTTTAGCGGTCGGAACATGGCGACGTAGGGAGTGAAGGTTGGGATCCGATCTGGTGGTGGGGGTTCGATGTCGCTTCTCTCTATATATGTATAAAGGTAAATTTTCACGGGCTGCTCAAACCGGCTGTTTCAGCGACAAAAAGAATCACGTGGTCAAAATTGACGAATATCAAATGTCCATTTTGATCACGTGATCCTTTTTGTCGCTAAAATAGCCGGTTAGAGCAACTCGTGAAAATTTACCTTAAGACTCTAGTATAGGCCGCGGAATAAGCGTACGGTGTAAACGTAGCCAGTGGTATAAAGACAAGGATATACTCGTGGGTTATGATAATGCCAAGCGGCCAATCAGAATTGTCCAAGCTTACGTCATTTACGCGATAAATTCGAACATATTATTTTAAGGATGTCTTCCTTTCAAGGTACATATAGGGAAAGTCTTTTTATAATACGTATAGTAAATTTGTAATTAGAAGTACAGTCAAATGTGCTATTAATATAGTCACATACACTATTTGAAAATGATGGATTTTTCCATTTTTGAAACTTATATATTTTTTAGTTATTATTACCACATGTATGTATATAGTAAGCTAATGTTGAAAAAATGGTTATATTTATTATATAATTATAATAATTATAATATTTATATAATTCATTATATAATTTTAATAATATAATTATAATTTATTAAATAAATTATCACATAAAAATGGTTATTGTATTTACCATGCGTATTTTAATATTTTACTACGTTAGTATTTTAAATTATCGTAATTTATAGTAAAATTTTCCGGTATGTAGAATTATACATATACATATTTGATAGAACTATACATATAAGATTATTGTTACTAACATTATAGCAATAATGACTATAAAAATGATACTCCTAACCATAATTATTTTACCATGCAATTATAATCACAAATATGCTATACTTTCTTTCAGTGTAGATTTCCCACTTATCTTATAAGTATAATATAACAATGCAAGCACTTCTTTTTTGGCAGATTAAATTTCAAT